ATAATAATAATAATAAAGTTGGAAGGGACCTTGGAGGTCATCTAGTCCAACCCCCTGCTCAGGCAGGAAACCCTATACCATTTCAGACAAATGGCTGTCCAGTCTCTTCTTAAAAACTTCCAGTGTTGGAGCATTCACCGCTTCTGGAGGCAGGTTGTTCCATTGGTTAATTGTTCTAACTGTCAGGAAGTTTCTCCTTAGTTCTAGGTTGCTTCTCTCTTTGGTTAGTTTCCATCCATTGCTTCTTGCCCTGCCTTCAGGCGCTTTGGAGAATAGCTTGACTCCCTCTTCTTTGTGGCAGCCCCTGAGATATTGGAACACTGCTATCATGTCCCCCCTCGTCCTTCTCTTCATTAAACTAGACATACCCAATTCCAGCAGCCTTTCCTTATATGCTTTGGCCTCCAGTCCCCTAATTATCTTTGTTGCTCTTCTCTGTACTCTATACTCTGTACTTCTCTGTACTGTATATCTTCATAAACAATTTAGATGAGGGAACAGAAGGGGAACTTACCAAATTTGCAGATGATACTAAACTGGCAGGAATAGCCAACACCCTAGATCAGGGCTTTTCAACCAGTGATACGCATACTACCTGTGGTACTTTGGCACATGGCAAGTGGTACGCGACCATCCTAGAGAAGTGTAGTGGGAGAGAGGAATGAGCCGAAGCGACCCAAGCCTGAGGGAGAGGCAGCAGCAGCTGCAGGACTGTCTGGGCTCGGCAGGGCTCTAGCTGATTGGCTCCAGCTGATTAGTGCTTCCAGAAGCAACACGGAGCTGGAGGTGAACTGAAGAAAAGGGGGGGGAGGAGAAGATATAAAAGGAGGTGGTTTGGGTGGGAAAGGGGGGAAAAAGACAACAGGGAAAGAGAAGGGGACGGAGAAGAAGCTTGTGGAAGGAGAGCTCAGCAGGCAGGGAGGAAAAAGAAACAGGGAAGAAGCAGCAACTGTTGCTGGATATTCCCCCGATATCAACTGGGAAACAAACTCTGCAGCAAGTGGGAGATGGAACATATTCCTAACCAACTTAGCTGACAACTTTGTCATCCAAAGGAGGGAATTAGAGGAAAGCTATACTAGACCTAATTCTTACTAATAGAGAAGAAGTGATAGAGAGAGGTGAAATTGCGGGAACCTTGGGCAAGAGTGACCACGTCATACTGGAATTCAATATAATGCAGACACAAGCAATAGAATATAATCCCCAAACTTTAAAAGAGCTGATTTTAACAAACTCAGAGTCTAATCAAAATTTCATGAATAAAAACCATCAAGGGGAAAACAACTCAAGAAGCGTGGGAAACACTGAAAAATATAATCATAAAAGCCCACAATACCACTGAAAAAGAAAAACAAGAAATCCAAGAAGAAACCAACATGGTTGCACAAAGATCTCTCTGATAAACTGAAAGACAAAAACGATAGGTACCAAAAATGGAAAGAGGGACACATAACTAAGGCAGAATATCAGCAGATAGCCCGAATCTGCAAAGAAGACGTCAGGAAAGCAAAGGCTCAGAATGAACAAAAGTCAAAGATAATATAAAAAAAAGTTTCTTTCAACATATAAACATATAACAAAAAGAAAGTTCAAGGAAACAATTGGTCCACTAAAGAGAGAAGATGGCAAGGAAGTAATAGGCAGTAAAGAGAAAGCAGAGCTGCTTAACTCATTCTTTGTATCAGTCTTCACACAAAAAGAAACTATAGGCCAAACTACTAAAAACATAACTGTAAAAGACAAATTAGAAATAAAAATTAAAATAAACAAGAAAATGGTAAGAGAACATCTGTCTGACCTTGATGAATATAAATCACCAGGACCTGATGGATTACATCTCAGAGTTCTGAAGGAGCTGGCAGATGTTATCTCAGAACCATTGTATCATATCTTTAAAAAAAACTTGGAGCACTGGGGAACTACCTGAGAATTGGAAAAGGACTGATGTGGTTCCCATCTTCAAAAAAGGGGGAGGGACAGACCCAGGAAACTATAGACCAATCAGCCTGATATCAATACCTGGGATGATACTGGAAAAAATAATCAAAAAACAGATCTGTGAACATCTAGAAACAAATAAAGTTATAACTAGTAGCCAACACAGGTTTGTTAAAAACAAATCATGCCAAACCAATCTTATTTCATTCTTTGACAAAGTGACTAAATTAGTAGACCAGTGAAATGCTGTGGACATAGTATATTTAGACTTCAGCAAGGCATTTGACAAAGTAGACCACAACCTACTTCTGGTAAACTAGAAAAAATGTGGGATTGACAGCATCACCATCAGATGGATTTGTAACTGGCTAACAAATCATACTAAATGAGTAGTCCTTAATGGTACTACATCTACATGGAGGGAAGTAAGCAGTGGGGTACCACAAGGTTCTGTCTTAGGCCCAGTACTCTTCAATATCTTCATAAATGATTTAGATGAGGGAGTAGAAGGAGATCTCATCAAATTTGCAGATGACACCAAGATGGCAGGAATAGCCAACACCCTAGAAGACAAGCTCAGAATCCAAAAAGATCTTGACAGACTTGAACAATGGGCCCTATCCAACACAATGATATTTAATATGGAGAAAAGCAAGGTTTTACACCTGGGCAGGAAAAACCAAAGGTACAAGTACAGATTAGGCGAAGCCTGGCTCCAAAACAGTAACTGTGAGAAGAACCTTGGAGTCCTAGTGGACGATCACTTAAACATGAGTTCAGCAGTGTCAGTCAGCAGCCAAAAAAACTAATACAATCCTTGGTTGTATAAACAGAGGCATAGAATCAAACTCACATGAAGTATTAGTAGCGCTTTATAAAGCCTTAGTAAGGCCACATCTGGAATACTGCATCCAATTTTGGTCACCCCGTTACTAAGATGATTAAAGGCCTGGAAACTAAAACATATGAAGAATGGTTGCAGGATTTGGGAAGGGCCAATCAAGAGAAAAGAAGGACTAGAGGGGACATGATCGCAGTATTCCAGTATTTGAGAGGCTGCCACCAGGAGGAGGGGGTCAATTTATTTTCCAAAGCACCAGAAGGCAAGACAAGAAACAATGGATGGAAACTAATCAAGGAGAGAAGCACCCTGTAATTAAGGAGAAACTTCCTAACAGTGAGAACAATTAACCAGTGGAACAGCTTGCCTTCAGAAATTGTGGGTGCTTCATCACTCAGGGTTTTTAAGAAGAGACTGGACAGCCACCTGTCTGAAATAATATAGGGAGTCCTGCTTGAGCAGGGGGCTGGACTAGAAGACCTCCAAGATCCCTTCCAGCTCTATTCTGATTGATTGTTATTAATATGACCACTGCTAGTATTGCTTTATACACTTTATGAGGAATGAATATCAACAGCTTAGGATGTTTTGTCTGCAGAAAAAGCTGCAGTAGTGAAAACAGTGTTTTAAAGGAATAAATATTCATCTTAAGCAGAAGTTGGCAAGAGTAAAATAATGTTAATTTCAGAACTACTTAAGAAAATGACAGTAACCATCTATGCCATAACCTTCTGTTTACAACACAAGACTCCATCTGTAGGTGACCGCGTGGCCTAATGGATAAGGCGTCTGACTTCGGATCAGAAGATTGAGGGTTCGAGTCCCTTCGTGGTCGATTATTTTAGTATGTTTGACAGTAGATCTACAACTAAACTTAAAGATGGAATTGCCGATTTGCTATCCACCGGGTGAAACGCCCAATAACACACGAAATAAAAAATCATCCATCGTTTGTATTGTTCTCCAGATATGGTGTGTTTCCGTATATTCTGGGCTGTGTTTGGTTTTATGCTGCGAACAACGTGACGCTGCATCAAAAATATGGAATCGAATAGTGAACGAAGCCCAAAATTATAACGCACGATGTCGTTTTATTTTTAGCCTATTTAGAGCTTATGTGGGGGTTTTTTTGCAATAGAAAATGAACGGAAAGCATTTGCATAAATGCGACGGCTAAGAAACTTACATGGGGTGGGGAATAATAACAGCTTTTCTGTAAGAGGCGAAAAGTGTAGCAGATTCAACTCACAGAGCCCCAGTGGCCTAATGGATAAGGCACTGGCCTCCTAAGCCAGGGATTGTGGGTTCGAGTCCCATCTGGGGTGGGGGAAAAAGTGTTTTGTCCAAATGCTGACATCTTGAAAAACCATTTATTTCCCTAAATTGTTAAATTAACAACAAATTACTGTAAAGTTTTCAGTTATCACAGCTTTTGATGAATGAAAGTAGATCCCAAACAGTTTTCAGTATCTTTCCCTAATAACAATTCTTTAGATTCTCAGATGATACTTGTGCCAATAGTAATATAGGTTATATGCAGACAAACATACTGGAATAAAACAGAGTGAATATGAAAAATGCGACATAATCACAGGTACAATCTAATTATTACAACAAGACAGGGTATCAGACTTTCAAGTTTTATCCCTACCAGTTCTTTATACTTCCAGTCAGACAGACTACAATTGCCAAGAGTGCATAAAATGATCTGCTAAATCATAACCTCAGAGGAACAACATCAAGACTTCAGAAAGTAATAACTAATGGGCACTAATGGGCAACAATTTATTAATTAACCAGAAGAGAAAGAGAAGCTTTTTAGGAGAGTGATCTTCTCCTTAGCCCAACTGACAGGAAAGAGGAAAATCTGATTTAGATAGACTAATTTGTCAGCAAATATTTAGAACTGTCATAAAGGGCTTCAGATATTAAACACAGCTTTCCTACAGCCGGGAGACGTCGAACTCAAAGGCAAAACTATTTCAGTTTCTTGCTTCAGTAAATTCTGTGGTCTAGAAATTTCTCCGTTCTACTTTAAATATTTTCAAAACTTCTGAGAAAGAAGGAGAATGTGGAGAACAGTTAGAATGGTTTTTCTCTTCTCTTGGCTATCAGGTAAATACATTTTTTTTCTTCTCCCACCCAAATATATTCCTAAGAATTGATAAATCTATTGTAGTGCATTCAGGGGTTAAGACTGGAGTGAAGGATAGCAAGGATGGCAAGTAGAGGTGAGCAACTTATACTCTGCAGGAAAAACATCCCATCCTTGATATATTGTTTTTCAAAATAAGATTAATGATGTTTAAATGTTTGAGAAAGCAAAATGAACAAGCAGCAAGAATGTATACCTTCTTGAGGTTCTTATTTAACAATTATGTGGACGGTCCATTTCATGTGGCCCATGCTAAGGAACAAAAACATTGTTTGTGTTATTGATTTTATTATACGATTTCACCAAAGTTGAGAAATACACCCACACATAGATAGAAGAAGTGTGTGAGATATAAAGTTGGTAAAATGAGGACCCAGATTGTTGGGGGCAATATGCTGACTCTGTAAATCGCATAGAGAGGGCTGTAAAGCTCTATGGGTCTAAAAGTGCTATTCTTATTGCTACAAAACATTCAAAGGACGCTGGAATGTTTTATCCATCCATAAAGGAGAATAGTGTTGCATTATTCTGTTTTAAAAAACACACACACCAAAGAACGTGTTTGTTGATTTCCACATTGTGCTTCCTAGATGCTAGCATGAAACAGATCTGTACATATCATGATGTGGTCGAGTACCTGAACATCTCCTCCAAGAAGGAACTCCTTTTATATTCTATACCAAAGAAGAATTGGGAAGAGACTTTGGAAGTTGGCCTTGATTTCACTCTCATCTCCATTCTTTCGGTGGTAAGAGAGAATGATTGCTGTGTCTGCAGTTCGTAGCAAAAGTGATGCAAACAGTGAACAGAGATACTGTAAAAGCGTTAGTTGGGAAAGGAGAATTAAGACTTTCTCATATGTATGATTTGTTAGAAGGAGACAAGCCGAATGCTTGCGTCTTCTAGAAAGGTAGATCCAGTTGAGACTATCATGGAATGCCATGATGGATCTGTCAGTATGTGTGCATGTGATTATGTGTATATGTATATGTAAATCATCTTTTTTTTCCACTCCACTCCCCTGCAACAATGAACTTGATTTGTACACACAAATACACATAATCACACATACTATTAATAATAATAATAATAGTAAAGTTGGAAGGGACCTTGAAGGTCATCTAGTCCAACCCCCTGCTCAGGCAGGAAACCCTATACCATTTCGGACAAATTGCTGTCCAGTCTCTTCTTAAAAACTTCCAGTGTTGGAGCATTCACCGCTTCTGGAGGCAGGTTGTTCCACTGGTTAATTGACAGATCCATCATGGCATTTCCCCGACGGTCTCAGAGGCATTCCCTGTGATCAGAGAAATACACTTACTGTGAAAAGATTTCCATTGATGCAATATGGCGCATGGCATATGGCTGACTAAACTGTGGATTATGTCCGATTTCTGAAGGCTGGAAGAAGGATGCGTTCATTTTTTTTTCTTTTTTCTTCCTTTGCAGCAGGAAAAATTACAAGTGGTCACATTCTACTTCTGGCTATATATGGTAAGGGTACTCACTTTGCTCTTCTACCAGTAGCAAAGATATCTGTATTTTCTAAAAACCTAGATTAGTGTTTTAAAAAAGATAATATACACCTTTTAAATTATTCCTTTGTTCTTTATTATTAGGTCTGGAAAAATGAATTTATCAGCTGGAACCCTTTGGACTTCTGTAACATTACCAGTATCACTCTTCCTGTGAACCTTTTTTGGACTCCTCACATTTTCATAGATGAACAGTATCTTTTCTATTTTCCTTACCTTTTAAATATATTTTTTAAAACTTCATTTTTAGAAAAAATTCTCAGTAATAAGTATTACAGTACTAACAGTATTGACTGCTACATTTATACACATTGACTCAAAGTTCTAATTCATTCCCACATCTAGACATTTGGAATACCATAAAGAAAAGCAGAGTTTTGGCACCCACTGCCAATCTTTCAGACAGATCCAGTGAATTTTGCACCCAGTTCTGATACAATTTAACATTCCTTAGAACAGGGTTTCTTACAAATCTGACTATTTGGTTAATTCAAAGCAGCTGTAGAAAACAGATTACTTGAGATTCTTGTTTTTACTAATTTATGGGGCAGGAACATTATCCAGCTCTATTTTGGTTAGTGGGCCTGACATCAATTCAATATTATAGGTATTATACTGGTAGTATTATATTACAGGGTTAAATTATGATCAAAACCAAACCATCTCTAGCATCAGCATCAGGAAAATTTAAATTCTGTCATTTGTGTCAATTGGATTTTGTGGCTGGCTAGTTGATGATTATACCAATGAAGAAATTTTCTCACATATTTTGATTGTTGTGCCATTAAAGAGATTTCCTTATATCTATTTTGCACATATTCGACAGCAATATTGTCTAATATGTGCAAAACACAAACTTTTATTAATTACAATATTTTTCTTTCAGGGCAGATGAAGATAAGTACATGGTTAGCCATTTTATTGGTGTATCCTTTGATGGCTCCATTTCTTTATTTCAAGCACATCAGCTCACATCTGCCTGCAACTTGGATATCCACCCATTTCCTTTTGATGAGCAAAAGTGCAACTTAACTATAGTGCCAACATTACATGAAGGTATCTTAGAGGAGCACCGTGCAATTATGGCTTATCATAAATTTTGCTTGCCCTTCCTTTCTACATAGACTTCTGAAGCTATACTCATGCACACATTCTCCATATCTCTCTGGTTTCTGCATGTCAGCCTGCCATTGCTGCAGTCTGCAATGTATCTGCTTTATGTTTTCTTATTTTGTTAATATAGAACTCACGTTTTTGCTCTTTCTCCACATCATCTATTAGAAGACAGGAAGTGTGCTTTCTCTATCACAGTGCCTGTCTTGGATCAGCTGATTCTTATTGTCTCACCCACCCGGATTCTGATCGCTTTTGTAAGACTTTGGGCCAGGCGGTGGATGAGCCCATTTGTAAAGGTTTGGGGTACTGAATGATGTAGGCTAACTTTAATTTATTTGTTGTTTTATTTTTCTTGATTTTATACTTGTTTCACTGAAATTTGTGAGTTGGGCTGCCCCATAAATTTATATAGGTACAGTACATGTATACATTCATATGTGATTATTGCTCATTTCCATCACTAATCACTAAAGGAAAGATTTCAGCCCATAGTACAGAATATAACATCTTAATGGAATTATCAGTTTTCATTTTGTTTTATGGATATATTTTATATCAGACTTCCCAATCTGGCCGCTTCTCAGATGTCATGGCCAGACATTTGGGAAATGCTATCCCAATACAGGTGGTCCTCAAATTCTTCTTCTTCTTGTGCCATATACGTTATCGGACGTTGGCGATCATGTTGGCGATCCTGTTTTTATCAGCAGCCGCACGAAAAAGTGCTGCTGAGTTTTGTCCAAACCAGTCCCTTAGATTTTGAAGTCATGATGTTCTTCTTCTGCCTGGACCTCTTTTGCCTTCAATCTTTCCCTGGAGGAAAGATTACAAATTACAACCCACAATTAGGGCCAACAACGTGGTTGTTAAGTGAGTCATGCCCAGTTTTAAAATCTTGGCTGTTAAATGAAACACTGCAGTTGTTAAATGGATCACAGTGTTGTTAAGCAAATCCGGCTTCCCCCCCATTGACTTTGCTTGTCAGAAACCAGCTGGGAAATGGTGATCACACAGAAACCACCAGTTGCAAATGGTGATCACACAGGACCCTGGGACACAGGGACACAGGACCCTGGGACACTGCAACTGTCACAAATACATGCTTGTTGCCAAGGACCTGAATTTTGATCATGTGACTCTGAGGTTGCTGTGGCGGTCGTAAGTGTGAGGACCAGCAGTAAGTCACTTTTTTCAGTGCCATTGTAACTTTGAATGGTTGTTAAATGAACGCTTATAAGTCGAGGATTAGCTGTATACTTGGAGGATAACAGGAAAGGGATGAACCTCCTATATATTCAGTATAGGACTGTCTTTGTTCAGACTGTCCTGAATTGGCAGTCCTCTGGGTCATGGGTCTTATATTCTTTCCAGAAAATGAAGTGAAGATGAAAAGCGTTAAAACTTCCCAAAAGACAAACCAAGACAGTCGCCGCCATTATTTAGCCGGTGGAGAGTGGAAGTTTGAGAATGTGAGGATCACTGAGGAAGCTCAAATTTATGGCGTCTCCAAATACAGTTCAGTCATCTATGAGGTATGGTTTATTAATGCATTTACTATACATCTTCTTTGTCAGATGATGTAATGATAGGTGGGAGCAAGCTTGGGAGACGGGAAAGAGCCACAGCCAGGGGACCAATCAGACAAGCAACACCTGGGCCCTCAGAAGGAATGTGGGAATGGCAGACGTCTCAGAAGAGACCCTCCCTAGTTTCTTAGGCTGTAAAGGTGGCGGGGAAGACTGCACTTTCCAACTTGCAAGGTTCTGTTAATGTAATTTGAAAGATTCTGTTAATGAGTGCTGATAATGCCACTGAAATAAGCAAAGCTAATAGTTACTGTATTGGTGCTGGTGTTTCTCTTGATGGAAGCTTGGCAAAATGATAAGGGAACAGTCCTATGCAAATTTACAAGGAAAATACCCCAGGGATAAATACATGATGCATACTCTATACCAGTGGTGGCGAACCTATAGCACGGGTGCCAGAGGCGGCACTTGGAGCCCTCTCTTTGGGCACACTTGCTGTTGCCCCAGCCTTGCCTCCCCCCACGACCCCCTCCTCTCCAGCAACCCCCCTGAAGGAGAGTCGCCCTCGAGCGTGGCCCACATGGAGCAGCGCAGCCAAGGACATGGCAGCCAAGCAGCGTAGACAAGACTCTGCCCTCACACCCCATCATGCAGTTGATTCTGCAGGACGTGGGCAGAGGGTGTGGCCGCCATAGCACTGCTGGGCTGCCTGGGTGATCTGCAGTGGGCCCTGGAGGCGGTGAGTGGTCCTGTGGGGTGGGGGGGCAGAGCGGGGGTGGAGCAGGGAGGTGGAACAGGGGCGGGGCCAGTTTTGGGGCACTCAGTCTCTAAAAGGTTCGCCGTCACTGCTCTATTCCCATCCTTTTGACAGTATTTTCCCCCAAACCCAGATAGTTCTGTCTCCATCCCTACAATCAATCTATACATTATCCAGTGCAATGCCTTTCAAAGTTAGCATGCTCTGAGTTTTATGTGTGGAATCTTCATTGGGGAGGGGGCATATAAACAAGACAACTCAAACCAAGTGGCTTCCTTGTAGGGTTTGGAAACTGATTGGAAATCACACTGATACTTTCCAATAGTGAAATCAGGTAGAGTAAGGCCAGGTCTTAAGAGAAGGATAGAAAAGAGATTTTGGCTTTCCACAAGAAATTGAGAATAGGTAGTATTTTTTTTTAATTTTTTTAAAAAGAATTGTTATCATGGGCATAGAATTGAAGAAACCATGATTTGGACATCATTTTCCATTTGAACACTGGATTTCAGAAAAGGGAAGATGCTAGAACTTGCAACCACAATGCTAATGGATTGTAGAATTTAATATGTTATTCCAACATGGGAAAAGTAGGTACTGTATATATGGATATATGGTCAGCCAGTTTGGTCTAGTGGTAAAGGCACCGGGTGAGAAAGCAGGAGACTGTGAGTTCTAGTCCTACTTTAGGCAAGAAAGCCATCTGGGTAAGCTTGGGTCAGTTCTCTCAGGCCCAGCTCATGGCCTGAAGTTACTCAGCTGGCTTTCTTGCCTAAAGTAGGACTACAACTCATAGGTCCCACAGAGTTGTTGTTTGGGGGGAAATAGGAGGCAGAAGGAGTATTAGGTAGCAAGCCAAAATAAATGTTTATGCCATCTATATCGTCAAAGATGTTCAAATAAATACTCAGGTTCAAGCCCCCCCCCCCCCGCCACTTAGCCATGCAAGTCGCTGGGTGACTTTGGTTCATTCTCTCTTTCTCTGCTCAACCAATGTTACAAGAATACTAATTAGGTATGTTAAAAACATAGAAAACTGACAGCAGAAAAAAGACCTAGTGGTCCATCAAATCTGCCCTTTGAGTTTATTTGTTTTTTGTTTTCTTTTTAATTTATTGAGTTGTTTATTAATTTTAATTATTATTTTTATATTTTATTTATTTATTTATTTATTTATTATTATTATTATTATTATTATTATTATTATTTTAACTTTTGTCAGATGATGGACATGTGCTTATCCCAAACATGTTTAAATTCAGATACCTGACTGACTGACCCCTGCTTCCACCGGAGGTTCGTTCCAAGCTTCCACTTTGCTCTTTCTGTGAAGAAATACTTTCTAAGAAAGTATTACTTTTTAAGTAATACTATTCGCTGCCTTTAGTTGTTTATAAAAAGAGTAAAGGCGGTATATTAAATAGATAAAGAAATAGATAAATAGCGCACAGAAAAATAGGATGAGGAAGTGTTTTTTATACTGCCTCGAGTTCTTACCGGTAATTTAAAGACAGGATCTGAAACCAAAAATTAAACAAAGACAACAAATACAGTGCTGTCTTTCTATCTTGTCCTCCTCCAACTGCATTTATGGGGTTACTGCTTCATTCTCACCGCAGATATTAAATTGCATTCTTCACTGTGTTTTGGAAAAAGATGCTATGTTACTTCATATACAAAAAGGGCATTACTGCAGACCATAGCGGATATTTTGCTGCAAATCAGAGAGGCAGAACCAAACCATCAGATTCTGCCTAGGTTCTGAAAACATTTTGTTTTCAATAAAACCATAATTCCCTCTTTTGTCCTGTTTTCATCTGGCTGAGCCTCCAAACCTTTTTTTTTTCCTAATGGATCTTTTTTTCTGTCAACAAGATAAAATTCTTGCTGGATCTTTGCCTAACAAACTGTTCAAAGAGAAATCGCTCACAATTTTTTCAATTAGAAATTGGAGCACGAAATGATCCTAGCATTAGTGATCAATTTCAGAATCTCTCCAGCGGCAGTTTGCATTAATTCAGTCCCTATTGGCTGTTCTATCATTTCCCAGAGTATGAGAATATTAAATATTTCTTGAAAAGGAAAGATTATGGTCTCATCCATTTTTAAGTTGCTAAAATCAAGACTAATGTTAGACTTTCTCATGTAACTTATCCATGGACAGCCCAATGGCCAACTGAAAAAAGTGGTTTTCTGCTGTTTTCCCCAGTTGAAACCTCACCTACCATAAAGGTTGGATGGCTGTTTGCCTGAGATTAATCCCTCTCCTATTGTTTTTGTTTAAGTTGCGTTTGGGTACAGTTTATGTTGGAATCACTATGCAAATCATAGAATAAGGCTGATTTCCTGCTCCCATCCTATCCCTGAGCCATTTTTATCTTCAACAATTTTTCTTCTAAAATAAGAGTTCAGAACAGTGACAGGACTGATTCTGGATAGCAGCCACTCCAGCTGATCTGTTTTACATCTGGAACATGAGCGTTAGTTGCTATGATTTAACCCCACTTCACCATCCAGCAATGAAATAATTGCTGAGGTATACCACTTCACTGGTTGAGTGTTGAAGCTGTCAAAACCAAAATCATGGACCCAGGAGCATCTGTGAGGGAGGAGGAGACAGCAGGAAATAGTCAAGATGGTGGCTCTGGCATGTAAGCAAAAGCCCTCTGAAGTGCATAAAAAGAAACAGGTTTCTATTGAGCAGTTGCAGCTGCCATCTTGACCTTTTAATTTCTCTCTTGACATCCTTGCTTGGACCTAGAGTAGGTTTAGACCAGGCATGTGCAACCCTGGTCCACAGGTCACGCAGCTCTGGACAGCTAGTAATATGGCCCCATAAGATCATAAACTTTTAACATTATTATCTGTTATTTATACATATTTACTGTGTTAGATATTTTATATGCCGCCCAAGACAATTCCTCTTCACTCAGTGTGGCCCAGACAAGCTAAAAAGTTGGACAACCATGATTTAGACAATCAGCTAAGCCTAGCCTTGGGATGATTTAGCAGTTTGTACAACTGAAATTTATGCTCGTCCTGGAAATGTTGTGTTACTTTACTACCTTTTCTTTTTACAGATTGCTATGAAGAGGAGATCCATTCTACATGAATTAATTGTGATTCTGCCAATATTTGTTCTCTTTTTGCTGGATATGGCTATTTCTTGCGCTTTTTGCTCTCCTACAGAAAAGATTGCCTTCAAAGTGACCCTGATCTTGCAGGTTTCATTTTTGTCTACGATGCTTATTGACAAGCTACCACCAACATCAGATTATCCACCAGTAATAGGTAACTACCTAATCATGTGGAATATTAAATAGTAGACTCCTTGGAACAGTTAGGGCTGATTACTCATCATTTTTAGCAAGTAACATGTGTGAATCATTCATATGTCATGGGTCTTCGATATTGTATAAAACATCTATATATTTCACTAGAAAACTTAATAAGGGATGGCCACATGGAATTAAAACCTAAAAGATTTCTGTAGGACACAGCAAAGTGTCACCCTGACATGGGACAGAACTCATTGACGTAAGAGCCATTACTCTGTGCTGCTATCTAAGTTGGGAAAAGGAAAAATATAGTAATATAATTGTTAGATAAGGTTGAAGGGGGCATTGATGAACTTGACTTTCTCAGAAAAACTGATAAAATTTGCAGAATGGAGACATCATATGTAATTAGAGAATGGCTATAAAGATATATTGGGTTCCAATTTGTGGAAGATTTGTTGTACAAGTATTATGGAGATATTCTCAATGGTCACCTTCCTTTTAAAGAAAGCAATTTTAAAGCTATTTTAAAGAAAAGCAAAGATGATAAAGTGGAAGTCAATAGTATTTGATCCTGGATGGATCAGAGACAATGATTGTAGTGAGTTTATGAGGGAATAGAAGCTGCTTATCGACTTTCTGTAAGTTCAGTGCAACAATAGATTGTTAACAGAGGGGTTTGAAGGTTAGCTTCGTGGTTGGGACTACCTTTTGCCTTCCAGAAGGGCATTAAACTTGGTTTTGCTAGTTGGCTTAGGGCCACAAGGGGTTGCTCTTCACCCCTGGAGGTGGTTGACAGGGTAAAAGACCTCATCCCTGTCCCCATCCATCTTCTTGATTCTGGTTTTCAGCATAGTTTTACATTTTTAATGTGCATAGTTTTAAAATAGTAAATTGCTTTTCTTTTTATCTTTTTACATTATATAAGCTGTCTGGAGTCATTCTATTGGGGAAATGGGCAGCATATAAATTTAACAAATAAATAAGATTCCATCAGTTCCAGGTTCTCATGTCTCATCCATGTATGGTTTGATCCCATAGCATACTCATCGTCAGATTGACCTGGTTCTCCAACATTTGACATGGACTTTGTTAATCCAGGTGACATCCAAGCTGGCATGACTGTCCTAGTTCATGTCACTCTCATATTTGAGACAGGCAGGTGATGCATTAAGTGATCTTTGCCCAAGAATCCCTACCGGTAAGGTGGGTGCTAGCTGAGATTAGAAACCCTGGTTTCCCACATCAAAGGTGGCATTCTAACGACTACACCACCCAGCTGCTATACTATATAAATATGTAAATAAATAAAAGAAATGGCTTGTTAGACTGATAATGGCTGCCTGCCTGTCTCTTGTTTTCTTTAAAGGCTAGAAGAGTGGAGACAACTAATCAGGGCTGTTTCTTCTTCTCCACAGCAATATTTTTTACTGGAATCTTCGCATTTATGGTCCTTGGCATCCTAGAGAATGCCTGCATGGAATATTTCAAGGAGCAGAATTCAAAGTTCCCATCGTTCAAGACCAAGAACTTTATAAGAAAATTCTTGCGAAAGGAAAAAATAAAAGCAGAGGACTCTGTCACGGATGTAGGTGAGCTTTAGCCAACACACAAACAAGCGGCAGAAGGAGAAAGTGCAGAGGGATGCAGACAGGTCTATAGGTCAGGGGGCCCATTTGGTCATGTGAGAATGGGGGTTCTGACAAAATGGATGCCATAGGAATGGTTGCCCATTTCCTTAATATTATTTCTAATTTTTAGGTTTACCTCTCATTTTCCCTTCAGGAACACTCAGCTATGCCCATAACCTGTTCTCCTCCCATTTTTCCTCACAATAACCGTTCAGTGAGATAGAGTGAACTGAGAGAATGTGTATGTAGTCTAAAATCACCCCATGAGTTTTGTGGCTGAGGGTGGACTTGAATCTGGATGTTCCCCTTCCTGGTCCAATCTTAAGCACTATTTCGCTAATATTCAGAACAAAGATCATATTGGTCATTTGCCAAATGGCAAATTGCTGAGGCTGCTCCCTCCACTACTTGAGTGCCTCCACCCAATTGCTTGCTGCCTCCAATGTAAACCAGGGAGTGAACACTACATCTTGGAGGTAACTGGAGAACTTTCTCACTACATGACCTTGGTATCTTTTGTGACGGGCACACTCACCACAGCACGCTCCTTTTGTGATGTGCACATTCACCACAGCACGCTCCTCTCTGGCACGTCAGCCATTCTGTGTGGCACACAATTTGTTTTAAAAATGCCACTCCTGGCCTAGAAAGAATCTCCTGATTTCTTTTAAGGCAATAATACTTTATTGCCTCTCACTTTTTCCCATATAGGAGAAGAGATAGTCATGGAGAACAAACCAACAAGGGAGTTTCCTTTGGTGGAAAATGACAACACAGACAGCCTTGTGTTTCTGAAACAGCTGAGCCTGGAGCTGCAACAGATCAAGAAGCACCTGGCTCTGGAAGAAGGCAAGGAGGTTTCTGGCCCTGCCATACAGGACAAATATGTCCATTTGGGGAAGTGCCTTTGTTATATCCGCTTGATCTTATCCCTTGGTTTTATAGCCTTCATTGTGGTGCAGTGGACAAGCTGAAGTATAGTCTGGGACCAGCTTGCTATATTTTGATGGCGCCAGGTCATAGAATGTACACATGTAGCACGATTGTGCTAATTTCCCCTTCATCACATTATGACAAGCAGCCTCCAGTCTGTGTTCATATCACACGTAGACAACCGTATTTTAAAAAATGAGCTTTCAAGCTTCTACTTCTCCTATAATTGAAATACGCCTTGGTATACATGACACTTAAGCATTTTCAACAATTTACTGCCTGCCTCAGTATATGCTCCCAATCCAGGGTGAGGGGAAGTGCTAGCCCAACAACGCTTTAAACATTGAATTGGGTCTAATCTGTAGATCCTGTTCAGGAAAACCAGAGGCATTTCAACCTCCACTCAGATCTAGATCTTGTTTCCTTTTCTTCTGGAGAATGTTTGGCTCTGGTCCCAAGACATCCTTTCATCCGTAGTCCTTAGCCAATAAGCTCATCTTCAAGATCTCTTCCACCTAAATGTTCATCACATGAAAAGCTATTATGGAAATGAAAACCTTACCAACCATCCTTGCAAATTAATGCACATAAAAAATGAGCAGAGCTTTGATTGCACCATCATGTCCACCATCTTGACTTTTTCCCCCCAGCCATATCTTGTGGATGCCCCTGACCTGATCTATTTTAAAAACTTTAGCCTCCTACTTGATCTCAGTGGCAAGACAGGAGGAAAGTATTATAAAGAAATAAATTGTACTTGAATCTTATGAATGCAAAACGCTGTAAATGTTGATATCTGTAACTGATCCTTGAGGAAAGTGTTTTGACAGTGGAGTTGAACTACTAATTTATCCTTCAGGCAGGGTCTGAAGATGGCTTTGTAAGGTTTTTCCACTTAGCCTCACAATTGCCCTAGCATTACTCAGGAATTTAAAAGAGCCAAAGAAACTCCTGAGTCGAGGTTTCAGCAAGCAAACAACTTTTATTTTGATCAAAATAGAGTTGGGTGACCCCATCTCTCTTCGTGGCTGGTAGAGAGATGAAGGCAACAACCAGAAAAGATGTCTTCCACCTTTTATACCTTTTCAGAACAAAAAGATCTGGTCTTGGTACCAGGCATAAGATGACACAAAAAAATAATTCCTAGATGATGACTCATACACAGCAACCCAGGCTCCATCCGTTAACTCCTTTCCCCCCTCCCCTTACTGTGCTCTTTTCATATAAGCAATCACCTATACCTAAAGCATGAAGCCCTTACTTTTCCAATATATATATAAAGCATCTGATCAAGCAATTAACTACAAAATAATGATTACAAAATAACAAAACAATGATTACATGATAACACTATAAGTATCAATATAAAATGGTTACTATATATAAAATAAATGCTAATGTCAAACTTAAACATACTAAAATCATAAGCACAATAAAATCCCTTCAGCTTCTTTTCTTCTTCTGACCATTTTTGGTGCTGTTCCCTTTTCTTTTTTCCTATTTCTTTAATTACATCTGAATGTAAACCACATTATGAGGCATATGTGTGCATGCGGGTATCTAATGCATGATCAAGACAGTACAAATATAAAAGAACTTGTCAAGATCATGTAGAAATCTTTTTAAAAATCTATTTGCTAACCTCAGTATCATTGTAGTTGCTTCAAGAGCATTACCGTTTCAGCTAAACCATAAAGCTTTCAGGAGGAACTACCTTTTAGTAGATCAGGGGGGTCAGACTGCTGGCCCGTGGGACGGATGCATCATAGCAAAACCGCGCCCACCCCATTGCCGGCAATGGCAAAAAAGTCACGATACGTCGCGACACGTCATGTGACATTGCGAGTTTTACAGCCCTGTAGTAGGTCAATATTATATAAACTGTGGCATTAGTGGTCCAAACTCATGCTAGATAGGGCAGTGTTGTCAAAGAGACTGGTTATGCTGTCAAAGAAGGTAGTGGGCTGACGAGGATTTTTTTAAATCCTAAAATTACCCAAGGGACAATCGAAGAAAAAAATAATGAATTATGGGGTAAAATATTGATACATACATAAGAAAATATATTTAAAAGACAAACAAGTCTAGTGCATAATTTCCCTCAGAACTTTATGAAATAAAAAAATTTCTTTAATATGGTGTTCCACATTTTGTCTGACAAATTTGTGAAAACAGAGTGGGGAAAATTGGTGTAGATGTTTCTGTATCATAAGGTGCTATCTTTAAAGCATGCCCCAGAGTTCCTTGGGGATGTAGGGGATAATGATCAAGACAAGATCTCTCAGCAGTTGAATCAATTCTCCATTAATGTTTGTTTGAAACTGTTTGTGTGTCCCNGGTGTTCCACATTTTGTCTGACAAATTTGTGAAAACAGAGTGGGGAAAATTGGTGTAGATGTTTCTGTATCATAAGGTGCTATCTTTAAAGCATGCCCCAGAGTTCCTTGGGGATGTAGGGGATAATGATCAAGACAAGATCTCTCAGCAGTTGAATCAATTCTCCATTAATGTTTGTTTGAAACTGTTTGTGTGTCCCTTACCTGTTGTCTTTTCTCAGTAATTGGAAGAGAAGGGATGTGGTTCCAGTCATAGAAAAGCGAGGAGATTTTAGAATGGCTACCTTTTAATCCTTTTTCTAGCCTAGAAGCTCTTGGAAATAAGTTATCAGCATGGTCCCTTTCAACAGAAATGCAGCAATGCCATCAGTGACCTATGTACGACTATAGCCTAACCAACAGAATAGTAATAAGATAGTGAGGAACGGATTTAATGTATTACAATGAGTTGAGGAATCAGGTTCTATAAATGATTATAGCAAGTTTTCTTTAAAGTAGAACCTGGCCAGAATGCTATTTGAATTAATGGCACCTTTGTTCTCTGTGTGCATGTGCAGGTATGTTTTTGGCCAGAGCAGCAGGCAATGGGTAATTTTTTATTTAGATTTCAGTTTTTGTTCTTTCAACTGTAGTTTTGTTTTTATTTTAATAGATAATAAAGATTTTGATTTGTATTAAACCAGGGTTAGACCACCAGATAGGCCAGACCAAAAAAAAAAAAATCAACACCACAGGAAGACTAAAACCAGATTTATTGAGATAGGCTATAATAAGAGTATATTCCAAATCTGATTGTGCTGGACTCCTCTCTCTTCCTATACTCCTATGAATCAGGGAAGTGTCTGTGTTAGCCTCTTCCAAATCTTATCTCTGTGTTATAGACGTAAGACACACTTCACCCTTTTTTGCTTTGATAGTGGTGTAAAAATCATTTCTTTTCCCTCTACAATCACTGACTTTCATTCTAAAAGCAATTTAATAAATTACTGAAAGGACAGAAAGCAGGGAAAGAAATCTCCACTTTAGCCAACCCTATGTAATTCAGCACTCAGGAGGATTTCTTTGGGGAAGAGTTCCTGGTCATAGTTCTGAGCAAGAGTGGCAGGAAGATACAGAAGGTAATGAAGGGGAAAAGCTTAGAGACACTTTTTGATGTTGGGCGCAAGGGCCAGTCCCACTACATCCCAGGCAGGCACATGTGTGCTCTCTGCCACATACATCTAACCAAGTGATGAATAAATAGAACCACCATGATTTAAAATTCGCCATACTCTGGTGCTAGCCTTTATATTGAAAATATTTTACCCAGTTACAATCTAATGGGAGACTGTTCTACATTATTCCATTAGCGTGGCCAGCTTGTATCAAAAAAAGATGATCAGGTTGATTTGGCATGACTTATTCTGAATAAACCCATTCTGGCAGCTGAGAAGCAATGCATCCCTTTCTAAATGCTCACAAACTGGCACCTCAATGACCTGTCCAGAGATTTATATGGACATTAAGATGACCAGTCTGTAGTTTGTCAGGTTCTGGGTTTTTTGTTTCATCCTGTGGTCCTTTTTGAACATAGCAGATCCTATATCCACTCTTCTGGCTCTCTGCCAGTCTATCATGAATCCACAAAAAAGGGCTCCAAGATGACTACAAGTTTCTTCAAGACTCTCCGTTGTCCCATGCCTGATCCTGGAATCTTAAATTTATTTATGTTGGTCAAATTCTTCTCATTCATTTCTTTACTTATCTTGAGTTGCAGCTCCTTCCTTTTGTCAGCTGTGTTATTTAATTCCTTTTGAAACCAAGTTCCTCCTTCAAAGATCAAAGCAAAGAATCAGTGTGGTCTGTCCTCTCCCAGTCATCTGCCTTTTCCCTCTCTTCAGTTGAATTCCCCTGTGAAACTCCTGTCCTTTTTGTTAGCTCATTCAATTGGCCTGACCAAAAGCCTCATAATGTTGCTGGTAATTCAGAAAGCTGGTCCCGAGAGAGAGCAAAGTGCTATGAGATACTCTTTTCATATCTTCCTTCCATCAGTTTTTCAATTCAATCTGCACGAATCTTTGTGCTTTTGACGACCCATTCTACCTTGAGGTTCTGAAGACCCGACACTTCAGGAGAGGGCTGGGGAATGCTGAGATTTGGTCCTCTGCATTTGGAAGTACATCTAGTAGAATATTTTTATGATGAATGCTTAATACTAACTATGTTTTTTTAACTCTATGGGCTGGTTTACATCAGCCATTCAGACTCTTCAAGAATTGAGGAGCATAGATATCACAGTAAGTAAAAAGGAAATAAATACATAATCTCTCATTGCACATGGGCTTGATGCCTTATGAACCCGACTCTCTAAAAATACACTGGAATGATTCTTCTTCCTTATTTTTAGTAATTAGTAAGCTAGACATTTTTATTGTTAGTCGAATACTGATTTGGGTCTTTTTGTTAGCAATGTGCTAGGATATTTCTAATAGCATGATATTTTAGCATATATGCCCACAGATGTTAAATTCCGAGGAAATGATATAGAATAACATTTTTATTATATAAGAGATTTAGAGAGGTTCTGGGAGATCAGTCCTAAAGGAACATCAATTTTCACTGTAAGAAAACAAACTTCTTTCCAGTAGACTCTTCAAAAATTGGCAGTGACTAAACAGCAATTAACAAACTGTGAAAGCTGAGGAAGCAAGTAGCTCGTATATTTCTGGAGCATGCTTCCATTATCTCTAGCCTTTGGATGTGCTGCCAGTCCCGATGGCAACATGCCTCTGGAAAAAAAGTGTATAGGCTCCAGAAACAGATATGGCTATCCAATTTCCATGTGAAATTGCCCAGTCTTCACTTTCCACAAAGTAAACCATTTAAATAGCATCGGCTGTCTTTAAATAATTCGCTTTCTTTTGAAAATACGAGATGCTCTCTTCCTGCCCTACAGGCATGCCAGCGTAGCCAACTTCAAAGGGAAAACATTTGCAACTTTATAGAGGAGTAAAAAAAGGTTGTCACATGTGAACAGACTGAGATTGATGTATAAGAGCCAAAGATCTGGGGGGAGGGGGGGGAAAGAGAAGAAACATTTAAAGAGCTAAGAAAATAGTGGCACAAAATAAAGACATAGGAACAAGGGCACAAAAATTTACAGATTAAATAGAATAGTAGAATAAGATAGGAGAAAAATAGAGACAAGCATAGAATAAGGCATTTACTTCAGAAGGAGTAGGAATTTAATTATGTACAATAAAACATATGTTTTGAAAGTAAAGCAAATGGAGTGTTTGTGATCTGTACCATACTTTAAAAAACCTAATAGGAATATATTGCAAGGTAAATATTCAAAGGGTTAAAGCATCAATCCATAAAACAGTTTCATATAAGTGTATTTGGTTTTTTAATTCATCATAATTCATATTTGAACAAATCCAATATTATTAATCCAGGATATGCAACATTAAAACATATCCAAACCAAACACTGAACTACTCCAACTTTTAGGGCTTTAAAATAAGAATGTTAGAGGTAACAAACCCATACAATCTTACCATAGTAGTAATTAGCTAAATTGCAGGATTCTTAGAAAAGAAGAAGCAGATTTCTAAGGCTCATGTGCAATTACTTTATTAATGGATTCCTGAAGAAGCATTGATGTTGCACAATGCTTTTGAACAGCCAGTATTTATACTTCAGAAGCAAGCTTGTGTGGCCAATGAGGATATTTTACTGGGTCCAGTGTAGGATCCCGAAATTTTTCAGGTAGATCTTCATATGTCATATTTTCAAAAGGGATCATGTTTCTCAGTTGCTGAAGCTTAAGAGAAAAAAAACATAATTACCCACACATGATGAAGAGAAATGCTGAAAGCCAGCAGGACAGAAATTATTAGGAGAAAATACAGTACAACGCAAAAGTCCTTTTGTATAATTAAAATTGCTAGCTTACCTCCTCCTCGTATTCAGCAATGCGGGCTTTAGAAGCCTGTATGAAATCAGCAACATTCTTATCCTGAAAGAAGAGACAGCAATATTGGTTCCAGAGAACCTTGGTTCCAGAGAAGCTATCCATGCTAAGCTATCATGCTTATCCAGTCTGAACTTTATAGCCAATAATAAAGTCAACAATACCACGCTTTCAGTGGCACCAATTTACACATGCACTGCAAATAAATATCCATGGGTACATAAAATACGTATTGGATATAGGTAGTTCTCATAATCCTTTTCCTGCCTTTTTGAGATTGACAGATCAAAGTTACCAGATCTCTCAAACACCCATCCATCCCATATACTGTATCTCATGAGTACAATAGGAAATTGTCTCATAATTACTCCAAAAATCAACTAAGTCACTGCTATTTAGAACAGATAATTACATAGAAAATAACTATACATGAAGCCCAAGTGAACTTTATTATAGCATTTGCCAAATAAGGAAATTGTTCCTCTCCCTCATTTTTGCATTCATGTTCTAATTTTCTACTTTGTACCTCAGAAATGCTATTTATTATCTATTATTTCCAGCTTTTAATCTTAAGGAGGAAGAAATGGAAGGTCTTCAACTTGTTCTTCCAGACAATGTAAGACCTGTAACTCTTGTAGTTAAAATTGGCCATTGTCAATGGCACAATCCTAGCAGAGAAATTACTAAAGGTAGCAATCCATAAGCAGATGGAATGTGGGAAGGAGGGAATGGTGTTCAGTATAATTTAACAAATGCCACCATGAGTAAAGATTAATCCATGAGCAATCTGCTAAGATGCCAAGCAGACACCTCTGCAAACACCATTTATGTGCAATGGAAAAAAAAAACAGTAACAGGATAGCAGAACACTTACAGATTCCTTTTCTTGGGCGCTTATTTTAGCCATTTCAGTATCTGCAGGCAGAGGAATCTGCAGTGCCTTAAACTGTGAAAATTGAGGAAACAGTAATTGAAATGTGTAGCTTCTGGTTTCCAAACCCATACCACATGTACCTTCTTCCTTCTATCTATGTTTCTAATTCAGTAGTAAAGTACATACTTTCCAATGTCTCTGAATCCAGAGACATTGATCTAGAGACATTGAAAAGTATGTACTTTACTACCGAATTAGAAGCACAGGCTCTTGTGCATTTATTGCCCTGTTATATAAATCTTTCAACCATAGGATCCTAGAACCACAGCCAGTTTCAAAGTTTAGGAGTTCTCTAATGGGCAAAATCCCCAAAATGGTAGCCATTTTGCTGCAAGACAGATTTTGCAAGTTTTAAAATTTAGCTGATATTGCCCCACGAGATCAGTCAGTTTACAAGAAGAGATAATAAGGCACTAAGGCTAATTTTAAAAAGTGAAAATCTTGTGATATCGTTAAGTCTTATACAAATGCGGTGAGCTCACATGCACTATTTTACAAAAATTGTGCTTAAATTTCACCAGATTTGCAGGTTCAGAGAGTGGTTTTGATGGTTTCTCCTCCCTTATTATATTGGGCAGCCTGTCATCTGGAGCCCAGGTTAGAGTAGCCAATTCCCTTCTAGGGAAGGGACTGCAGCTGGATCTCCTGCCTGGCTGTGTGACCAATTAGCCCAGCACTTTGCCAATGAAATTGCTAAGATTTGCCTAAGTCGTGAATCTTCATAGGGAAAATCCCCTGAGATGACTGCAGCAATGTTGTGTCATATTATCCAGACTCCTGGCTTCTGAAAGTTATTGAAATTCTCATCTGGCACACCTCACATGATCACCCAACTCTCGCCCCTCTAGCTTCTTTGGGAAATCCAGGGGAGCATGGTCAATGTCTGTCTTAGGGAGGTGGTGGTGCTGGCACCCTTGAAGAGGCCTTGAAAAGGTTGGCGTTCATTCTTTCCTACAGATGCCCTCACTAGATCTTTCTGCATTTGACAACTATCACCCTATGTCTAACCTTACTTTTTTAGAAGAGTATTGAGACTATAGTCAGGATATACCAACAGAGCAAACTTGAGTACCCTTTTCTGTGAGGTTTTAGATCAAGGCATGATATTAAGACATATAGGTCACTCTTCTGGATTACCATTGTTATGACCTGGATCTTGGTACAAGTAGTCCTAGGCTTACAACAGCTTTTGGGGCCAGAATTTCTGTCATTAAGTGATTCAGTCCTTAAGCATGACATCACATCACATTGCTTAGTGATGGCAATCTTGGTGGTCTCAGTTAACGTCACAATCCAGAAACTAACCAGTCATTAAGTGAGAACCTTACACGATCAGAATCCTAGGTAAGCAGGGTCTTCCCAACTATTACTTCATGGGCAGGAGGAAGCCATGATCAGGAGAGCCTTTGCCTAGCTTTGGTTGGTATATAGCAGTTGCATCCCTACTTAGAACAAGATCTTGCAATAGGGATTCATTCCCACATCCTCTTATTTGAACAGCTGCACCCCACTTTACACACAAATTTACTTCTGAATATCCTTGAAAGTTTCAGTGGCTTGGTGCTGACAGTTGCTTGATATGAGTACAGTACTTTGCTTTAGGCTTTATCATGAATGCAGTACTTTGCTTTAGGCCCTGAACTAGTTTCCAATTAGCTCCTGAGTGCAATGCAAAGTACTACATAACTTGAGATGAGAATACTTATAGAAGCACTTTTTCCATCCAGTTTTGAACTGCCAGACTTGAACGTCTCAGAAGTACCTGCTTGTGAGTCCCATATTTTGCCAGTAAGAAATATGAAGGCTTATAGCCACATCTCTGTGGAAGTACTTTAGAATAGCATCCTCTCAGAGATTTGATTTGCCCGCCACACTACTTGCTTTCTGTAAATTGTTAAAAGATGAAATAGGGGTAATTTCAAAGAAGCTGAGAGGGATGAATTTTGGTGCTATCAGCTTGAGTAACACTGGTATAGTCTTTAGTTTTTCATCTTTTTACTCTGAAAGTTTTTATTGGTGTTTATGGAACTGTCAAGTCTCTTTGGATGCAATGGAATACACCTCAAACACCCAAAAGTTTAAAAGTGCCTCACCTTCTTTTCAAATTCATCCACTAGGGTAGAATTTGCAACTGCAGTCCTGTAGAAAGTCCAGTCAATGGCTGGTGGTGTCTCTGGCAAAGATGCAAGCCTATTTAGATACATAAAAGAACATCAGAACTACTGGATGTTTCAGACTATTCCTTCTTCTAAAGTCATTTTTTTATTTTTGATCTTCACAACAAGAAAAGTAAAACAAATGTCTGGATATTTTGTTTGTTATCGATAAAAACTTGATATCAAAGAATGTTTATTTATTTATTTATTTTGATTTATATCCCGCCCTTCTCCCAACGGGACTCAGGGCGGCTCACAACATATTTAAAAACATAGACATATTTACAACCCCCACCAGATAAAACCAAATTAAACCAATATTTAAAGTTGTGCAGTTAAAATTATTCTTAAAAAACCCGATTTAAAATCCTCCCTAGGCCAGGCCCGCTTGNGGAAAGTAAGGAGATCCGGAATCATCCGGATCTCGGGGGGTAGTTCGTTCCAGAGGGTGGGGGCACCCACAGAGAAGGCCCTCCCCCTGGGGGTCGCCAGCCGACATTGCTTGGCCGACGGCACCCTGAGGAGACCCACTCTGTGGGAGCGTACCGGTCTATGGGAGGGAATCTGTGGCAGAAGGCGGTCTCGGAGATATGTTTAAAGATCTGTGGGATGGGCAAGATTACTGCCTGTACCAAAATTTCTCATACCTAGTGTAATCATATTTACTAACAATAATTGAGAGGCAATCAATATAATCTTGCTGTTATTTAGCTATTTAACTCTTTATTTAAATTAAATAGTAAAATCATAGGAACAGTTCTGCCTATAGATTTCACTAGATCTGAAAGCATGTCCATTTCAATAAACTGTACACCTATACCTTAAAATATGTCTTTTGTTGCACTGATATAAGAGGCAAGTGAACAGTTCTGCAACACAGTCTGGACACATGTATTTAATAATGTAATCCAAATAATGCCACTGATGTATTCACCAATCACAAAGATATTTGGTTTAATGTCATTCCTTTTCTTTCCATGGTGTTCTTTACAAACTAAGAAATATACTCACTTGGCTGCAATAGCATCGCTACGTGATTTGAAAGCATTAAACATAGGTTTCTGATCAACTGACACTCGTTCAGCAAATGCTGCCCAATCTATTGCTTTCAGAGCAACCCTGCGGCCAGCCATTGCTATCACCTAGAAAATGGGAAGAGATAAAGAGTAAGGAACAAAGTAAATAAATAAGAAAATAACATAGCAAGTGAGGGATGAAGGAAGAGGACAATGGACATTAATAGAAATTTTCAACCAAATGAAATCAAGAACTAAAATGCACCATAGATTTAATTCAGGAATAAACCTGGTGTTTGGTCTAGTCCAGGGGTAGGCAACCTTGGCTCTTTTATGACTCGTGGACTTCAACTCCCAGAATTCCTGAGCCAGCATGGCTCAACTTGGAAACCTCTCCCTTTCCCCTCAGCATGGCTGGCTCAGGAATTCTGGGAGTTGAAGTCCACGAGTCATAAAAGAGCCAAGGTTGCCTACCTCTGGTCTAGTCGTTCAAGCGCCAGGCTAGAAACCAGGAGACTGTGAGTTCTAGTCCCACTTTAGGTAAGAAGCCAGCTTAGGTGACTTTGAGCATGTCACTTTCTCTCTGCCCTAGGAAGGAGGCAATAGCAAACCACTCCTGAAATCTCTGCCAAATCGCCAGAAGTCAACAATGAGGCAAGGCAAAAACGTACCTACAAAAAATAGGTTGGGTTTTTTTTTCAAAATCATGCAGTTTCGATTCCATTTTTTTTAAAAGATACATAGCTTGTTCTCTAGTTTAGCATCTAGTTTCCTAGCCAAGGGGAAACCGTTGCTGGAGAACAAATTTCTGTCCTCGGAGGCGCCATCCAAGAACCCTCCAACCCACGCCCATGACGAAACGAGAAGCATTACAGGCAAAAGATCGAGGCGGAAACCCGGTTAACAAGCAGGGGTTATTATTGCAAGATTAGCAACCCTCCCAAAGGACATCGGCTTCTCACCTTCAGCCACCCCGGCTAATTGCACCGCCGGAAAAGGCTCCCGGAACCAAAGCCTGACAAGGGACCAACAGGCCCAATCGGGACGACTCTCTCCGGAAAGAGGGCGGCCCTCGCCATCTCATAGAGAAAGCAAAAGGCAAGAGCGCAGCCTGCTCTGCTCCGGACGGCAAGGAGAGCTAGGCAAACTGATGGGAGTAATCAGAGGAGGGGAGGGGGTTTCCCTTCGCGCGGGCTCTGGGGCGGCAGAGGCAAAAGCAGTTGAACCTTGCTGCGAATGGAAGTTTTGGGATCTCCAGATGCTTCGGAGAGTAAACTTCGTCATTTCCCACGAATTCCCTTAAAATACCTTCCGTTTTTGCCCTTCGCAGAACTGTGTGTTTATATTACCCAACCCATCATCTCTAGACGTGACCGAATCTCCATCTTCTGCTCTGTTTCTGCCGCAAAATCGGGTCTCCGCCCTGTTACATTTCATCGATGACGACTAGTAAGCTGTTGCTCTTAAGAAGCTTTTATTTAGAATTAAGATCATAACATGAAAAGGTTGCACATACTATTGGGGGAGGAGAATAGCCCAGACCAGGGGTAGGCAACCTTGGCTCTTTTATGACTCGTGGACTTCAACTCCCAGAATTCCTGAGCCAGCCATGCTGGCTCAGGAATTCTGGGAGTTGAAGTCCACGAGTCATAAAAGAGCCAAGGTTGCCTACCCCTGGCCTAGACCTCTGTGGAGGCTTTTGTAAAACCAGTCCATCTTTTTAGCCATCTCTACTCCCGTCCCTCCGCCGCCCCCGCCGCCCCTGTGATTGCAAAACAGGCATATAGTAAACTTCTCTTTTCTCTCTCAAAAGGACGGCCCAGATTATATTAAAACGATTTCTCTCTCTTCTCCGTGAAGCAAAGTGGCAGCGCAATTTCTAAACATCGCCTTTTTGGCGTCAAAAACGGTTTGTTCCACTAAGAAATGAATTAGGAACGTCCCAATACAAACCAAGAAGCGCCTAGGTCAGAGGTAGGCAACCTCGGCTCTTTTATGACTCATGGACTTCAACTCCCAGAATTCCTGAGTCAGCATAGCTGACTCAGGAATTCTGGGAGTTGAAGTCCATGAGTCATAAAAGAGCCGAGGTTGCCTACCTCTGACCTAGGTAAACTGTTAGGATTTATGGCACGGCTGCCTATTGTATTTCCTTCCGGTGTCTCTCGATCACCTTTCCGAATGTTATGTTCCATTATTACTCGTTCCGATTCCCTTTAAGGGTGGAACGCTCGGAACGAAGCCGGGGTCAGGCGCGGTCATTCGACTCGGTGAGCGCTTGATGACCCGGAAGAGACTCTTCGTCCCGGAAGTCCGCCGTTCCCTGTCAGCGGGGACTGAGGGGATGGCTGTCGAGCTTCGACCGGAGCAGCTCCAACCTTTCCGCCCGGGCCGCTGACTAAAGAAGGGACCACCGCCCGCCCGCCCACCCACTCGCTCAGCCAGGGGAGAAGCCGCCGCCGAGCATGGCGGAGTTGGTGGCTGGGGAGGGGCCGCCACGAGGCCGCACGCCCAGCCCGCTCCCGACCTCGGGGCCGCCGAGCCCTCGCCCAGCTGCGGCTCCCGCCTGCCCCGCGCGCAGCCCGGAGCCCCCTCCGCCGCCCGAGAAAGCCGCGGCGGGGAGCGGCAGCGGCGGC